TGCTGTCTGTAACTGTAACTAGTCAGAAATCAGGTAAATGTAAAGTAAACTGTAAAGATTGCCATACATATTTTTTATTTTGGAAAAAATGGACTCAGAAAAGTGTTTCTTTGTTTCTAGACAGGGGCCAACAGGGGCCCGTGCCCCGTAGAACTAGTCCTGGCCTCTTATGGCCCCTGTACTGAAAACACACACAACAAAATGAATGCAATTAGCAGATGCAATTATTAATTAATAAATAATTATTATTAATACTTTTTTAGATCTGTGTTTGCAGTGTAACTAAATCAATGTCTAATGATCTTATTCGATGAAAGAAGAGCCTTTTCCTGATTTTTACCTTGGACCAATTTAATATTTTGCCTGGACAATTTAACAACTATTTAGAAATTGCAAGCAGCCTTAGCTTCACCTGTTTTTTATCCGTTTGATCAAGTGTGAAACCTGGACTTTGTGGCTCATTTATAATACTAAACACTCTTGTTTTATTTATTTTTTGTGTGTTTGTGTTATTCTTTATTTCTAAAACACCGGCCCCATCATGCCCCCCTTATATATTTCGTCTAGAACGAAATGGTTTTCTTTTGCTTTCATTTTTTATTTTGTCATTTTATTTTTAGTTAGTTTTTAAAATATCAGGAATTGTATAACTGATTCCATCATTTCTTAGATGGTATTATACTACTTGAGTAACTTTAAAAAAATAATTATTTTTTAACTGTTAACTATTTCTAATTTTTTTAAACGTTTACTTGAATAACATGTTTAAGTTGTGCTAATCTTTACTTAAGCAGAAGTCTTTATGTCTGTATATTTATACAGTTTTATAAGGGCCTCTAATATTAATTATGTCATTTGTTCTTTTGTGTTTTTTCTTACTAATATACTTTATTTATACAAACAAGATATGTGGGCTGCTATAGGGTACTTTCCCCTCCCAGAAGCCCTCCACTTAAGAAACCGTAAATGATACAGTATTATTAATTTGCGTGTTTTGAATGAATGAATAATTACTTTATTTCGATTTGAAAACAAAAAATAAAATTAGATTTTTTCAAAAGAATCCATCAGACAGCAACTGAAAAAGGAATAGGCTGAAGCCACAAGGCTTATTTTCCTATCCTGTACCATCATAAGAATAATTCACAATAAAACATAATTTTTTTGTTATTTAACCAGGGGGGAAAAATCCCATTGAGATTAAAAACCTCTTTTTTTAAGGGAGTCCTGGCCAAGAGGCACCAAAATTACATAATAAACAGAGATACATTCAATTAAATGACAGGTACATAAAAAAATATCAAGTAAAACAATTACAGATCATTGAGGCTGCTTCAAATTCTTTCACTTTCAACTTAAAAGCATTTAAAAATAAAAACTCAGTCAACTTCCAGTTTCTTTGTAAAAAATTCCACACACAAGCTGCATAGCTAAAGGCTTTCTTCCCTAGTTCTGTGCGGCTAAAAGGAACAATGAGCAACAGCTGATCGTTGGATCTCAGGGCATAAGAGGCCATGCTTTTCTGTCTGAGTAAAGTAAAAATGTAAGAGGGCAGTAATCCAAGAAGGGCCTTGGAAATAAAAGTGTACCAATGACACTGCCTTCTCGTAGAGAGGGAAGGCCATCCCACCTGAGGGTACAGGTCACAGTGATGTCATGGCTCCACAGTTTGTGATGAACCGTAATGAAGCATGGGAAACAGAGTCCGACATTTGAAGACATGAAGATGTAGCATTCTTATAAAAAAGGTCACCATAATCTAAGACCGATAAAAACGTGGCAGAGACAAGGCGCTTTTTTACTCCAAAAGAAAAACATGCATTATTATGAAAGAAGAAGCCCAGTTTAACTTTTAATTTCTTCACAAGTTTATCAATAAAAGGTTTGAAGGTGAAGGAGTCATCGATTACAATTCCAGGGTTTTTTATTCATGTACCACCTCAATGACATTCCCTTCCAGAGTGGAAAACTACTGGAAGGGTTAGAGGCACCTTCCTATGTTTTGAAGACAACATTAACTTTGTTTTGTCAGCATTAAGAAATAATTTAAGATTAATAAATAAATACTGTACAGCAACAAAGGCTTTCTGTAGGGAATGAATAGCCTGTTCAAGAGATGACCCAAAGCAATAATAATGGTATCATCAGCATAAAAATGTATATTGGCATCAGAGAAATTTTGTCCAACATTGTTGATGTACAAGATAAAAAAGAGGGGGCCCAAAAAAGATTGCTAACCAGTTAGCACCTTAGTGCTAGTAGGTTCCCAATGGGAAATTTAATTGGGACCAAGTAGCACTAAATTGGTGACTTACAAAGAACACTGTGAAGGAACGCTATGGACAGCAGAAACATGCAAGAGGAGGAGAGTTTTGTGTCGGAGGTCGTGGATGAGTCTCCTCCGTCATCCATTTTTTATTTAGAGGAGGAAAGCGGGGAAGAAGATGTTGTGGAAGAGGACGCCAGGGCGCCAGAAGCTTGGTTTGGTGTAGAAGGCTTCCAGCCGTACATGTTTGAGCCCTTGCCTCGCAACGCTGCCAGTTCTGTTAGCTCTACGCCTGCTGAAGACACAGACGTCCATCCCCGTGAACACTGGGACGGAACTCAATGGCAGAGGTGTCGAAGTACTTTGTTACTGTACTTAAGTACACTTTTTAGCTATCTATACTTTACTCCATTACTTATTTTTCTTCCTACTTCTGACCTCTACTCATTACATTTTCACACAAGTATCTGTACTTTCTAATCTTCCATTTTTAAAACAAAAGTTACTCATTACTCTTGGCTTTGGCTTAATGTTTATAAATATTTATTTCCCGTCATGTGCTCCATCCAATGCAGATCATTGGCACCATCCACATCTAGTCAAAACTAGTGTAACTGGATGAGTCATAGAACGCAAACACTAATTGGTTAGCTAAAGGAAATCATCAGAAGCAAGCAGGAGTTCTTCAAACTGCAAACGTGAATTGTCTATGCCATGCTACAATGTCGGATTCAGACAAAGATGTTGAAATGTCTGAAAGGTCGGACACAGGCGAGAGGGTATCGGGAGACGGAGACGAGGACCAACAAGACCTCCCTCATCCTTGGCCCTATCTCAAAGAATTATATTATATATATATCTATATATATATATCTATATATATATATAGATATATATATATAGATATATATATACATATATATATATATACATATAGATATACATATATAAACATAGATATATATCTATATATATATGTATATATATCTATATATACATATATATATATATATATACATATAGATATATACATAGATATATATCTATGTTTATCTATGTATATATTATATATACATATATATAATATATATATCTATATATATATATATATATATATATATATATATATATATATATATATATATATATATATATATATATATACACTCACCGGCCACTTTATTAGGTACCCCATGCTAGTGACGGGTTGGACCCCCTTTTGCCTTCAGAACTGCCTCAATTCTTGGTGGCATAGATTCAACAAGGTGCTGGAAGCATTCCTCAGGGAGTTTGGTCCATATTGACATGATGGCATCACACAGTTGCCGCAGATTTGTCGGCTGCACATCCATGCGAATCTCCCGTTCTACCACATCCCAAAGATGCTCTATTGGATTGAGATCTGGTGACTGTGGAGGCCATTTGAGTACAGTGAACTCATTGTCATGTTCAAGAAACCAGTCTGAGATGATTCCAGCTTTATGACATGGTGCATTATCCTGCTGAAAGTAGCCATCAGAAGTTGGGTACATTGTGGTCATAAAGGGATGGACATGGTCAGCAACAATACTCAGGTAGGCTGTGGCGTTGCAACGATGCTCAATTGGTACCAAGGGGCCCAAAGAGTGCCAAGAAAATATTCCCCACACCATGACACCACCACCACCAGCCTGAACCGTTGATACAAGGCAGGATGGATCCATGCTTTCATGTTGTAGACGCCAAATTCTGACCCTACCATCCGAATGTCGCAGCAGAAATCGAGACTCATCAGACCAGGCAACGTTTTTCCAATCTTCTATTGTCCAATTTCCATGAGCTTGTGCAAATTGTAGCCTCAGTTTCCTGTTCTTAGCTGAAAGGAGTGGCACCCGGTGTGGTCTTCTGCTGCTGTAGCCCATCTGCCTCAAAGTTCCACGTACTGTGCGTTCAGAGATGCTCTTCTGCCCACCTTGGTTGTAACGGGTGGTTATTTGAGTCACTGTTGCCCTTCTATCAGCTCGAACCAGTCTGGCCATTCTCCTCTGACCTCTGGCATCAACAAGGCATTTCCGCCCACAGAACTGCCGCTCACTGGATGTTTTTTCTTTTTCGGACCATTCTCTGTAAACCCTAGAGATGGTTGTGCGTGAAAATCCCAGTAGATCAGCAGTTTCTGAAATACTCAGACCAGCCCTTCTGATACCAACAATCATGCCACGTTCAAAGTCACTCAAATCACCTTTCTTCCCCATACTGATGCTCGGTTTGAACTGCAGGAGATTGTCTTGACCATGTCTACATGCCTAAATGCACTGAGTTGCCGCCATGTGATTGGCTGCTTAGAAATTAAGTGTTAACGAGCAGTTGGACAGGTGTACCTAATAAAGTGGCCGGTGAGTGTATATATATATACATATATGTATACATATAGATATACATATATATATACATACAGTAGATATCTCTCTCTCTCTCTCTCTCTCTCTCTCTCTCTATATATATATATATATATATATATATAGAGAGAGAGAGATATCTACTGTATGTATATATATGTATATCTATATGTATATCTAAATGTGTATATATATATATATATATATATATATATATATATATATATATATATAAATGTATATATAAAATATGTAAAGCAGTCGCCCCCGGTGTGTGAGCCAAAGTGTGGGAGCATGGAGGAGGAGGAAGGAGGAGTTTGAGCGTCATTGCGCTGAATAAAGTGCGCTCCCAGATGAAGCTGCGCTCTGAGATCCGCCTGGCAGGAGGAAGGACGCAACTAAAACTTTACAATCACTCTCACTTCCGGGCTCCACACACTCTTTTGCCTTGAAAATATATATATTTATTCATCAATTTTTTCCTTTAATATATGAGAATACACCGTTTTTTCTGAGTGACCTGCTGAAGAGATTTGGTTTTTTCTTAATTCGATCATCGACGGTAAGTTTTACTGTCATCTCTGGCTTTTATTAAGTTTGTTTCGCATCTAGATGGTCTTAATTCTCCTGTTTGCTAGAAAAGAGCGCAGGAAGTGCGCCACGGAGACGCAGTATGTGGGTCAGCCTCAGTGGAAAGCTTTACCCACAGAGAGGCTTTCAGCTTCATTTACAGGAATCCAGAGGGGCTGTTGGAGGATAAACCCACCTAGAAGCAGGTTACACAACCCATAGAATATAGACCTAGATGCTGATTAGAATAGAAAGACCACTGATTTATTTTCCATCAGTAGAGGAGCTGCTAAATGTCAGGGGGCATTTAAACACATGGTGCTTTAATCTAGTCATGAATTGCCCACACCTAAAATTATACATTCATTTTTGTTTTTTAGAAAGTAAAAAAGTTGACTGCTGAAAAAAAAATATCTCTAAAGATTGTTTTTCATTTACTTTATTGTTCTAACATTATAAGCTGTCGCTTGAAATGTTTTGAATTAATCAAAATTGGTTTAAATTTACAGTGAATTTAGAAAAAAAAGTTTCCTTTTGAATTTTCTTGTTTTTTTTGTTTGTTTTTTTAGGCATTACACTTTTCAGTATCAGATTTTAATCTCAGACAGATGAAAACACTTTATTTAGAAGTTAGGATGAGAAAATGCTGAATGTTTACTTTATTTTTTTAATTTAATGAGGGAGAAAAAGCTTTAAATTAACCTAACCTTGTGTGAAAAACAAACATCTGTGGTAACTGGAAATGAGACGTTTACATGTCTGTGGGGGAATTTTGGCCCAGTCTTCTTTACCAAGTTGTTTTGATTTTGCACACATGAGTAACTGGATCACTTCAAAACCTTATTTATTTTTTTAATCCAATCAGCAGCTGACATGCTGACATGACAACAAAGCAGCTAAAGACCATCATGCTGCCACTACCATGTTAAACTGTTATTTAGATGCTGCTTTTATGAAAGTCCATTTTAGTTTTACATAGAGAAATAATGTAAGGAACACCTTCTAAATTTGTACTTTTCTCCAAAAGGTTTTTATTTCCTTGTAGCAGAATTGAAAAGATCTCTATGATCTTTTTTTCAAACGGCGATGTTGGGACTACCCCATGGATGCCACTCTTTACCCATTCTCTTTCTTATGGTGGAATTATAAACGTTGACTTTGACTTGTATAAGGAAGGCCTGTTGTGCTTTAGGTGTTGTTTTCAGGTTTTACTTTGAGGGGTCATTGAGTCATCATGGCTCTTCCATGTGGGTAATGGCTCTCACTGTGGTTTTAAAATAATAATAATTGAACTTTTTTAATCTCACACTTGAGAAATTCACTCTGCATTTAACACTTCCCCTTAGGGAGCAGGGGGCTGCCATTGTGGGGCGCCTGGGGAGCAGTGTGGGGTAAGGGTCTTGCTCAGGGACCCAGAGTGGAGGCTGTGGGGATCGAACCGGGTACTTCCTTCTCAGAGCACAAGCGCACTGCTCTAACTACTAGGATAAAGCTTGTTTGCCAGAGCCACAAAACTTAAGGAATGGTGATCTAACCCCGACCAAACTCACAGACCTTTCTTTCCAGGAATGGAATAACCTGGTGTTTGCTCAGACGTCAACATATAACTGGGGGTAATCGCAGTTAAAACATGATTTAACAAGAATAATATCATACATTAGATATAAATCTAGTGTTGCACCGATATCAGTATCAGGCGGGGCACCGATCCAGCACTAAAATGGTGGTATTGGAATCAGCGAGTACCAACAAATAGGGCACCGATACCATTTTATTCAACTATTGTCATCCATTCCAGGTAGGCAATAAAAAGTTCTACTGGATTCACTTTGTTTTAGTCTTTTTTCCTGCTTCACAAAGGTAGGCAGCAGCTTGACAAAGCCATGATGGCAATTATTTTACATCCAGGTAGAATGCAGTTCTTCATAAATACGCATCAATTTCAAATAGATGGTATCGGTATCGGCCAATACTGCACAGCCAGGTATCGGTATCGGCAGCGGCGTAGGAAGCGGGGGGGACGGGGGGGACATGTCCCCCCGAATATAAAAGCCAGGTGGATATGTCCCCCCCCAAAAATTGTACCGCAAAATATTAGATTTTGACATTTTTTAACTAGCGTGCTTTTATTTTGAAGGCGCAGCATAGCGTTACGTCACTGTACTCCCCCTCCCCTCTCTGAACTGCTGAGTGAGAGTGTTTGAGCACTCAGGAGGGAGGGAAACAGCATACAGAAGTCAGAAACTTGTGAAAGAGGTAAAATGGTCTGTCGGGATGCTGCCTATTTATAACGTCTTTGTTGTCAGTTCACTTTCATATATAGAAACTGAATCTTTTTGGTTTAGTCATCTTAGTCTTGTACGAAAGAGGATTAGGGCCACTGGAAAAAAAAAAAGTTAACTGATTTTTAAATTTTTTTTTAGTTTAACATGGGTAAAAAAGTAAGAATTCTGACTTTTCTCAGAATTCTGACTTTAATCTCAGAATTCTGACTTTTTTCTTCTGACTTTTTTCTCAGAATTCTGACTTTAATCTCAGAATTCTGACTTTTTTCTTCTGACTTTTTTCTCAGAATTCTGACTTTAATCTCAGAATTCTGACTTTTTTCTCAGAAATCTGACAGATGATTAAGATTTCTAATCAATTTACAGTGTTTTTTTTTTTTTTTGGGGGGGGGGGGGGTACTATACAGATATATAAAAACAAGAATGTCTAACTAAAAAATAACCAGAATATATGTTTAGAGTAAAGACTGACTACTTGTGTTTACACAAGCACACAATTTCAAATCTGCTGAGCTTGCTGTGCAAGAAAATGTAAAATATACGTATAAAGAAATATAACAGGAAGTACTGCTAAAACAAACTAAATGTTAAATAATGTAGATATTGGTTTAAAAAATTCTTCAGATTTGGAGATTTGGAAGGAATACATAATTTTGAAATTAATCAACAAATCTGGTAAAAAATAAATAAATAAAAAATAAAAGTTGCACTTTTTTACTTGAGGAATTTGTTGAATAACTTCATAATTATGAGTTTAACTAGTTGGAGGTAATGCTACACTTCTCTGCTTCCTGTCCTGCTCATAAAAGGTAAACATTATAAACCCACCATTCATTTTCTACACTATTTGGAAAACACAACACAAATGTAATATAACAAAAGTATGTTTAAAAACAAACATGTTAGCATCAAGCCATAGCCATGTCTGTTTTAGAGACTAGCTCTCTTGTTTTAATGACCTTCTGCTCCTCCATTTATAAGGGGGACCCCTCGGGCACATCAAAAGTTGCCTAATTCTGTAATTTTTCACCAATATGTCACTGGCCATCTCAAACAACTCACATCTTTATCAGTGAAGCTGAGTGCTCCACATCTCTACCTTCATGGTGCCCATCTACATTAAGATCCAAAATTCTGAGATTAAAGTCAGAATTCTGAGAAAGAAGTCAGAATTCTGAGATTAAAGTCAGAATTCTGAGAAAGAAGTCAGAATTATGAGATTAAAGTCAGAATTCTGTGAAAAAAAGTCAGAATTCTGAGAAAAAAGTCAGAATTCTGACTTTTTTCCTGTATTAAACTGAAATAAAATTTAAAAATCACTTAACTTTTTTCAGTGGCCCTAATCCTCTTCCGTAGTCTTGGGCTGATCACTCATCCAATATTTAACTGCTAACTTTCTCTAGATGTTTGCCACGCTAGCCAAAATGTAATTTTTTTTTATATATCTCATTTCAGTACAATGCCACCACCAACTAAAAGGCTGAAACAGCAGTAGGACTTACTCAGATTTTTAAAAAAGAGAAACGTCAGTGTGAGTAACAGTCACCTAACACAACTTGTGTTGAAATTAGCCCGGTCTGGGATTTTTTATTTTTTGTGTGGTTTTGATTCGCCGAAATGGACAGATGTTATACCTGCCGCGCTCCTGATCGTTAGTTAAAACCACAGGGAGAATTAATTTTAATTCTTAGCAGCGAACTGCTGCACAACCACTAATTAACCAACTAATTAACTTCTGCACCTTTATTTCCTCAAATAAACTGCTGGCTCCTCTTTTTAGACTATAAACAGATTAACACAACATTGACAACTCTGTAGTTTTCTCTGTTCTGTACTGCAAATTGGAATTAAAGACGCCATTTCTACCAAAGGTCGGGACAGACTGGCGCACCAGCACCTCCCGACCCCACTAAGGGACAGGGTGTACAGAAAATGGAAGGATAGATGGATTTCTACCAAAGATTTAGAATGCGTTTTTGAACCAGATGCTTCAAAGCGCCCTGTCCATAATTCTTCACCACACTGTCAGCTCCCTCTGTCAGTCAATCTATATAAATTCATTTTTGACCATTATTGCAAGTTTGACAAAATAAAACATATCAAACTTTGCACTTCTGTGGCCTACTGAATTGTTTTTAATCCAACTGAAATATTAGATTTTCTAGTGCGTATGCGGACACTAAATATGCCAAGGGCTGAAGCCCTTGAAAGACATCTCCCTTTGCTTAATAAAAGACTCCAGTCATTTTGTTTGGTGATATGCTCACATCTTATGAACAAATGCATTATGTAAATTTTAAATGCATTATTTTTGCAAGACACATTTATAAAGGAATAAAGTAAAAGATTAAATAGCCTTTTTTTAAAGTAGCGTACTTAAGACATGTTTCTGTTGAATATTTACGAATCTCAGATTTCCGACATGTGTCCCCCCCAATTGTAAACATATTCCTACGCCCTTGGGTATCGGGGCCAAAAAATGGCATCAGTGCAACACTATATAAATGATTTATATAGTGTGATTTATAATAAATCATATTCAATTTTAATATAGGATCAGTTTGCCTTTAATTAGCCAAATTAGGAGTGTTTGAGGAGTTTATTTTGATAAATAACAACCATGGCTTCCTGATTCCCATGCATAGGTCGACTTCGCCGATGCTAACCACTCAACTTTTAGAGAAAGTCCCCTATGTGGAAGAAACTTTCTCTTGTCCCGCTATGTTCTCATGCAAATCAAACACACACATTCTAACACGAGTGTGGGCTGATAAAAAGAAAAAGAAAAGCAGATTATGCAGCACTGTCTATACCGACCTTTGCATCAGATATCTGGCTCTCATCTCTTTTTATCCTCTACAGAAATTCAAACACATCTTAAAGGAGACACACACACATGGATGTCAGAAGGAGTAAGCCCAACGATGCTGCCCACCTCGGTCTGCTCGCTGTCTGCTCCAAATAGGTGAGCTGAACAACAACAGGAGCTCTGTGCAGAGGCTGCTGCTAGGGCTCACTCTTACTTTTTGTTAGGTTATGCAGGCCTTTTTTTCATCAGGAAGTTGTTGAAATAAGTTCCTGTAGATCTTTTTTTTTTAATAAATTGTGATTTGGGTTGCAGAAAATGTGCGATTTTCACTTTTCAGGCAGAGAAAGGAAGAATGCAAACGTGTTGCTGGTTTCTGTAGAGATGACAAACTCAGATAGAGATTATTCATCTCTTATAAACAGAACTTAAAACTAATTGAGAAATTATTCAGCAGCCAAATAATTACAGTAATGGTAGAACGAGATGGGAGTTATATTGTCTTTTTCATTTGTCACTTAGAAATTATAACATAATTACATCAAAACATAATTAAAAGATAATTTCCCACATTTTTCTCCTAACAATGCACCAAAGTTTCTTAACTTGACATGTGCAATAATGGAATGCTTAATTATCAGACAAAAATTAATAACCTTTAATAAACACATCGGATTAAAATAATAATAATTCTGTTTCAGTTGGTTGTAACTCAAAAAACTATAAGAAAAAAAATCGTTTTAAGCTGATTTTACACATAACTATACATTAAGCTATAAGGATGGTTTTCTATTCATTATGAGGTTAAAGTAGATGAACATTTCCTGCTGCTAGTGATTTAAAAGTGATTTAAGGCTGTATGGTGAAACTGCACGTGTAAAACTGACATTTCATTGTAGTATCATAGCGCAATAGTCTAAGACAGTGATTCTTATTTGTTTTTTGAAATGATCTGCTCAGTAAGAACCCAAGCTTCAATTTACCATAATACGGAGATATATCAATTCAATTCAATTCAGTTTATTTATATAGCGGTAATTCAAAACACATTTTATCTCAACGCACTTTACCATCCAACTAGATCATCCAGTCAAATTGTTTTAGCGTTTTCTCTTTAAGAAAAACCAGTTGATTGCATCAACTCATTGACTGCAATGCAATCCTTCACACTAAGCATGCTTGGAGCGACAGTGGAGAGGAAACACTCCCTTTTAACAGGAAGAAACCTCCAGCAGAACCAGGCTCAGGTATACGTAAACCAATGCTACAGAACTGGTTCCTTATCCATTTGTTGTTTAAACAATTATAAATTACAAGACAAATAAAGATTATCTTTGTCGTCTGTCTTGATGCACAGTTTGGTTGAAGAACATGATTAAGTTTTGTGTCTGTTTAGTTGTTCCAATAAACATAAAGTCCTCAAAACTTCAAGCGGTTAAGTCTGAGGATTTTAATGTCTGAATGCGTGATTTATCTGATCCAATCTTTAACACATATACTACTGTTAAAGCTTCGTTAGTCAGTTATTAGCTAGCAATGCTAATAGCCGTTAGCTTTGTCAAAGAACCCTGCAGTTTGCATATTTTACTAGTTTTCTGTTACAGAATATGGTTATTGTATGTTTATGTCTTTCAATTTTACTTTTAGAAACTGATATTAGTAAAAACAAAAAAAAAGTGGCTGTTTTGATTTCGTGTTTTGAACTTTCCTAAGTTATGATTTTAGACACGGCAAAAGAAAACAAGTCACCTATAGAAATCTCAGGACAGATATCACGTGTAAGTGGTGAGAGGCTGTAACAGGATCACAATGCTTGAAATGATAATCACTTTATTTGGATATTCGAGCTGAGATTTCGCTGGATGATAGGCCTTGTTTTGACATGTCTGGGAAACGATCTGAAAACATGTTATTCTGGGCTGAAGCAGCCATGTCGCATTTGCTGCTCCTGTTAAAGAAGTCACCATGTCAGCTTTTTGAATGAGAACAAATGGGCTTTTTTTCCCTTTCTTTTAAACTAACCGGTTTTTCTTATATTTGGAGAAGAATATAAAAAAATCTAATAATTTTGAAAAGTTTAGTCTTTCCTTTTAAACTAAAGAGAAACACATATTTAATTGTTATCCACCTGTTTTTTTTTGTGTTTGTTTTGTTTGTCGAATATCTAAAAAGAAAATCTAATGACTCTGATGCTGTTTTTCCAGATGAGCCAGGGCCAGTGCAAAAACTAATAAAAAAAAGCTAAAATTTCCTTTAACAAAAGTCTGTTTTTCGTTGGTTTGAGCACTTAGAAAAGATATTTTCCCAATGTTTTTGTTCTAAGACAAGATAATAATAAAAATTACACTTATTCAAGAAAACTTGACTCACTTAGATGTTTTTTTTTTGCAGTGAGTCTCTTGGTATGATGACGTTAGGTAAAAATACTACAGTTGCACAATATTAGAAAATGAGGTCAGCTGCGATGAATGTCTATTTTCCTCTTTCCTCACTTTCTATATCTGAGCTTCCATTGCTTTCTGATCTTAGCATTGTGGGCCCCCTCTATTTTGCCCAGTGTTAGTATATGCTACTTAACTCATTACAATTGATTATATATTACATAAGCATACAAAAATATGCTTTTCATTCACAATGAATGCACTCTATTAACAGTTAATTACAGTATTATGTTTTGCACGCTCAGATATTGTGCTGACAGCTTGTTGCGCAGCCCTGAAATACTTTTAGGGGTAAAATGTATGCAAAAATGTACAAATTTATTGCGCTTCATTATTCCTAGTGCTGCAAATTGATGATAGATTTAGAATAATGATCCGGAGCATGTTTTTATTGACATTTTTATTTTATTACATAAGCTGAAAGTTGCTGCTTTTGCTGTCCCTCAGAACCAGCCTGCAGTCTGCTGCTGAACAGACCTGCCACCCCCAGACTGCATCAAATAGAATAGAAAATCCCTTTATTGTTCCACAATGGGGACATTCGGGTGTTTAGAGCAGCAAAAAGAATCTAGAAAAAATGGTCACACAAATGTGGACCTTAGAAAAATGTATAAAAATAATATAATAGTGAAGAGTTAAAAGATAAACAATAAAATGTTGTATTGTAAAGTGTTTTAGCAATATAAAACTGCAGAATAAATAACCAATGTGAAGCTATGGACATCGTAAATATGCAGCATTGTAGTTTTAAAAGAGGATAAATTATTTCATACAAGTTATTATTGGGGGTTAAAGCTTTCTATAACAAAATGTTTCCAAATGAACAAATGCAAGTCTTCCCTATAAGCAGTATAAAAGTGTAGGAGTCTTCTTCAGCCTGATGAACAACAGCGGAAAGCAGACTTTCAGCTTTCTCTGATTTTCATCTAAATAAAAATCACTTCAAAGTGTTTGAGGGCCATGAAATGACCTTTTTAAACCTTTTTAGCGATAAGCAGGTCATGTCTTTTGCCTGATCAGCATTCAGAGGTCAAAGAATCGCCAGCAGCGCCTTCTTGTTTTTCTGTTCTCCTCATTTTTGTCTGTAGTGGTTTCTGTTTGAAGCACAGGTCACAGTTTCGCCTGTTTTTGCTTCTACTTTGGGGTTTAGTAGCTCTAGCTTTAGTGTTAACAGGGTAAATTGGTGATACTTCAGACATCTGAGAAGCATCAGGTCTGTTTATTGTAAGGCTGATAGTTTTTTCTTTGCCTAGTTATGTTAGCCACCTGAGCCCCTGCCAAAACACACCTGAAGAAGACGATGAGACCATGAACTCAGAGCAAAGAGAAGCCAGCCTTGGGCACAAAGCGGTGCCTCCACTCAACCTCAATGGCCACCGCCGACCCTCAGACCACACGTTGGTCCCCGATGACTCCATGTTCTGTAAGCGAGGGTGGAACCGAGAGCAGTTCCCCCCTGCCAGCTCCAGTTTTTGCTCCTCCAGGCCCCCCCACAGCCTCCCTGCAGGATACAGCCAGCCTACTCCGTTCCCGAGCCAGGTCAACATGCTCCACCCGAGCTTCGCCAGCAGCTGGACGGGGTATCCCAACAGCCTGCCTTCCTGTCTGAGCCAGAAGGAAGACTCCAGCTGCTCCGAGGACAGCTGCCTGTCCAGATGCAAATCGGCTTCCCTACCAGGACAGCACACTGGGAACATGATGAGCTTGGAGCAGCCGCTGTCCCTCCGCTCCAACCCTCCGTCTGCTGAGCTCTACCACCATACTCTGTCTCCATACTCGTGCCAACCTCAGGGCCCTGCCTGTTGCGCTCAGTGTCCTGCTGATGCCTTCAGCAGGCCGCCCATGGCCAACAAATACGCCTGGCCCCAACACAGCCCGGCTTACAGCCCCTTCTGTAAGTCTGATCTTCCATCTTTAACCTCCTTCTCCTTGTTGTTGGTAGATTTCCTTAATTCTGTCCTTTGTCTGTTAGATCCAGGGGAGTGCAGAATCCCTGGAGCAGGATTCACACATATGTAAGTGAACTTTTTACTCAACCTCCAGAGTCCACACAGTATTCCAGAGGTCTGAAAGTTTGTTTTTGTTTTCTTGCAGTGGACAAAACGTCCCAGTTAAGGAAAGACACCCTACGTACAGCACACCGCTCTCTCTGGAGCAGAGTGAGTCTTGATGGCCCCGCCAGCCGATCGAACCTCCCCCCCCGTCGCCTCCTAACAGCTCGTTTTCTGTATCTCTAAACGCAGGGAGAGTTTTTGTCACCTACGAGGCCGACAACGACAAGCACGTCAATGAGATAATCAAGTTTGTGGCTCTGCTGCGACACAACGGCTTCGACACTCATGTACGTATCAGACGTCAGCTTCCCTGTTAATGCCATCGACTGTTTGCCGCCAAAGCATTAAAAGAACATCGCAAAACAGTTCCTGTGTTCTAATGACCCTTTAGAGATCCCTCATACATGATCCTAACATACTTTCCAAATTGAAACTTTTTCCCAGATTTTTTCCCCCCTCATTCCTTTTTAAGAATTATTACGCCTGAAATGTTTACGTGACGTGTGAGCGATCAATTTGTTCACTTTTAACAGCTAAATAATTTTAAGTTGAAGCAGCACAGCTTCACTTCAGTTAAAAAAAAACATGGATCAGTAACCGCTGGGTCCTAAAGTTGAACACCTGAAGCCAGAGAGCATCTGCTCTATGATTGGACATCCTGACACAGTGAATCAGAAATACTTTAATAATCCCAGAGGGAAATTACTTTTGTTACACGCTCCAGTTAGTTTTACATGATATATACACACATCCAACTATGCAATATAATAAAGATAAAAATAAGAATGAGAGGACATTCCCCTTTATTGTTGCAGTTGTATCATTTATGTATCACTTAAGGGATAAGTTTAGTCACTAAAATGAAGGGACTGTTATGGCTAGAGGTGGGTGGAGTACAAAGAAATAATGTGCTTAAATAAAAGTAGCACAACTTCATTTGTTAGCCAAGGAAAAGTAAATAGTAGGCATTAAAGAAATTAAGAGTAAATACAGAAAAAAAGTATTTGGTAAGAAGGCTAATAAGCTACCTACCTAATAGTTATGATCCTAACATATGATTTAATACGCTGGTGAAGATTCTCAGTCATCCAGGCCAAAGTCATTCCAAAAAAACATACAAATTTATATTTTTTCCTAACTTGATAAATCTATTTAGAATATTAAATCTGATTCCAAAAATAGAAAATTAAAGACAATCTACTGGACTTTATTTCCAAATTTGAAACGTTATTATTTCATACTTGGAAACAAAGTCCAGTAGATTGTTTTTAATTTTCTATTTTTGGAATCAGATTTAATATTCTAAATAGATACATATATCAAGTTGAAAAAATATAAATTTGTATGCAAATGCTAGTTTTCCAAACGATAACTATATGATGTAGAGTAATTAAACATTTATTGGTTTATATTTTTTTTCAAAACAAGTTTTTAATCATAAAACATATCAATACTTGAAGTATTATATATGTGTGGATTAGACAAGGGCCAGTTACTTCCAGAAATATATTTGTTTTTAACTTGAACTATAAAGAGAAAAATATTAAAAAAGGCTAACCTGAACATAAATAGTGATGGTTGTTCTCTTAAGAGTGTTAAAATAAGAAATTTTACTCAAGTAAAAAGTGCAACATAACTACCACTTAAGTACTAATTATGTATTTTTTTAAGTTAAGGTAAATGTAGGTATTTACAACCTCCGTACCTCTTGTTATGGCTAAGTTCAATATGCAGAGCAAAGTATCACTGAATGTACTCTGTCATTTCATTAACCAGGTGGGAATGTGTTTTTTTCCCCTCGAGGCCAATGAGCACATAGGGGATGAGGGGAAAAAAACAAGACACTAAAACTAGATTTCACATGAGAAGTTGTTTCATGTGGTTTAGTTTAGATTTTTGTGCTGGAACTGATTTAAATATTAACTTGATTAGGTTTATTATTATTTTTATCTTAGGAGTTTTTTAGTGAGCAACCCCATTTAGGATTTTATCCGTATTGATTTGGAAATTCCTTATTTTCTTTAAAAAAAAAAGAATTCGGAAAGACTTTTTTCCACATTTACTGCTCATTTCTCTCTTAGAAGGTTTAACGAACAAATGTCTTTGTTCTAGATCGACATTTTTGAGCAGCAGTACCGAAGTATAAGTAAGATCGACTTCATGGAGCGGTACCTCAGCGAGGTAAGATCAGATATTACCCTAGACCTGATTTAAAGAAAAGAATAAAACATGAAATAACTTCAGAGGTAATTATCCCGCCAGTTTGGCAGATTGTTGCATCACTGAGCAAGATCAAACACGTCTTTAGAAACAGCTCACTGGTAGATTTTAATGCAGATTTTTTTATCCGCCCTCCCAGAAGGAGTACCTGATCATCATCATCATCAGTCCCAAGTACTACGAGACGGTGACCACCTCCCCGTTCGACCTGGAAAACGACGAAAGGACTTTCAATACGGTTTACATCTACAAACAGGTCAGGGCGGCTTTCGTGTTGAAATGCCTGCTTTAGTGCAGCTGTCACTCACACATGTGTTTATGTGTCACGCAGCTTCAGAATGAATTCATCCAAAATGGCAGCAAGAATTTCAGGTTCATTCCTATTTTGTTTCCTGGGGCTAAAAAGGTGAGCGTGTTGCAACACTCAAACCTGGAAAACCTTCGCTGGTCTTTTAATGTCTTCCTTTCTTCTTTTGCTCAAGTGTCATGTCCCTAACTGGCTTCAAAACACTCATGTTTACGGTTGGCCGCGTGATCGAGACGACATCCTCCGACGCCTGATGAGGGTGGAGAAGTATAACCCCCCTCCCATCGGGGAACTTCCAACCATCGTTTCCATCCCCATCTAGAGAGCTGACCCCCGAGGACACGTCTCTCTATCTGCTGATGCAAACAGGGGGCCCCCTCACTCAGGGCCCTCTCTAATCTGTGATTGTAAAGACTCTTAGGTGCTTTTGTAGATTCTTGTTTTGTGTTATAACATTCAGAAAAGAAGCCAGGGTTAAAATAAAATAAAAAAGGGGGATCTCTTTGATTAGGTTTTGTATTTAAAACTGTCCATGAGTCACGCAAAGGTTAGTTTGACAGGCTGCAAAAGAAAAGAAAAAGAAAACAAGACTTAAAACTGTGCGGCGGTGGTGTGTTAGCGGTTTGTAACCATGCCCAAAGTTTACTTTCACTTTTATGTCAAAACTGCTGAAATTATCACTGATTTATAAGGAGATGATGGCAAAAGCTCAGCTTTTTCCTACACACTGCCTGTCAGCTGGCTGAACCAAGATGCACTTCTCTATTGAAAAAAAAAAAAAAGCCAATGGTTTAAAGAACAGTTTAAAAAAAACACCAAACAAAACGCTCTGGTGCAAAAATGAGCTTTAATCGTTTTCAGTTTCTGGTAAGATATTTGCTCTTTGCAGCAGCATCTATTATTGGATATATTTCACTGATTCTTGGGAATTTGGATAAAACAGGTTTTAATTTTGAAAATAAAAAGTTAGTTGGATTACAAAATCTGAAGGTATATTGTTATAGACCAAGGTCTTGGCTGTTCAGCAGTGTACAGGTGCAACCTCCTCATTTTGTATTTCTTTCATAAAATAGGCATTTTTCCAGTTATTACTTTGTTTTTGTCAACACCATCAGACACAATAAAAAGCTAATTATTTTTTATTTATTTGGTCTAATAAGTATTTAGAGTTTTTAAATCTTTATCTGGCATTGTTAGCACACATTTATGCTGTTAAATGTTGAATAATCATTTTTGTTAATTTTTTTTAACTGTATCATGTGTAGTCCTTTAAAATATCTAACATCAGATAACGTTTACTTTAAGCCTAAATAGAAAAAGTCATGTTTTTTTATTTAACAAACATATTTTTGTATTAAAAGAGACCATTACTTTAATGAGAGAACAGCACTGAAGAAACATATTGCAAGCATATTAATTTAAAACGAATAAAAAGCCCTCTGACGGTGGTGACTTTAGAACTGACGGTGGTGACAGTGGCCTCATTTCAACATACAATTCCAAACTGTATACAATTCAAGTCAATGGTTTCTTGCTTATTAACTTTATTTAACTATTTGGTCCAAAAAATAACAATCATGAGCACTGTGACAAATATTTTTCAAGGAATATAAGGTACAATTAAGAAATATCATTATCAGTCAGAATCATTCTCTGATGCTTTATTTTCTTGCGTGTGATTGTGTCCTGTTTGTCAGTTGTCATTCGTGCTGCATTATGGTAGAAATTTTGAACCTTCTGAGTAATTGCTTGAATATATGTAGGTTTTTTGTCAGTAGGCCTTCACACTTCTTTTGATATTCCCTGTTTCTTTTCCTTCTTTCCTTCACAGATAGCTGCTTCCTAGCCATAACTTCCTAAAATACATAAAGTCAAAGTTGAGTGTAATGACTATGAAATTGGGGGGAATTACAGTAAATGTTAGATTTGGTTAAATGTTGCCCTGCCATAGCTTACAAGGAATATTGTATACTATGTGCTATGTAGGTAGGTAGTAGGTGCACTATGTGCATCCCAAATGATGTAAACCAAATGAACATGGCATAATAGTGAATTGAGAGACAGGGAAGGCACACCCCATCCCCTAGGGTTATACAATATGTAAGAAATCTAGGCGGAATTACATAAATAAAAATATAAAAGAGGTTAATGAAACATTACAGATCAACAATTATTTTCTAGCCTCCATTGAGAACCATTTGTAGTTTTTTGTCACCACCGTCAGACTGTGCGTCACCACCGTCAGACAGAAAATCTGACGGTGGTGACGTCTGACGGTGGTGACAAAATCCTACTCTTTCACATGATATGCATGAGTTGTTCACATTAGCCATCTTGTTTCCCCTCTGTTGCTAGCTACTTTAGACCTCTTCTTAAAAAGTAAACATTTATGTCATAATCTAATCTAATATTTTTTATACAAAAGAGACGGTGTTGACATGTTATGGTTGTGACATTAGCAGTGTCCAAAAAATATGAACAAGTTTAAGAGAAAATAGCAAACCTACAGGAGCTTGAGTGACCTTAAGGCATCCAGTAGAGCTGAAGATTTGAAAATGGGGTCCTCAGGCATGTAGTTGACCTTTTAGTTGCCTGATTTTATTGCTTTTTATAAATATCTGACGGTGGTGACAAATATGTGGGACACATTTTGAACAATCACAAAATAATGGTTATTATTGTTCAAAACTCACTGTTTGTAGTTTTAAATACATATTAAAATGTACCCTTTCATTTGGTAAAGATATTATTCAATTCAATTATTACTTTTTTTTTTTTTATCAAGTTGAAATGATTATCTCCTATCCAAGGACAACTGATTTTATAGGCAATGGGCCAGCATATAATCATTAAATTAACAATAAAATAAAAAAACTTTAAAAGAACCTTGCATTTGTGCAAAGGACCCCCTGATTATAACCTTGATTGTTTTTATTCATGAAAATTTTATTTCTTTCCAACAGAATTAGCACTTTTCTTAGTGGGACATGTTTTTGCCAAAGTTTCAAGAATCAGTGATTTGTTTTAAATCAAAGCGGTTATTTTATGCTATTCATTAGGGTTTGTTTTTTTGTAAATACTACAATCTTTTCACTCAATGTGATCATAGACTCTGATATTGACCAAAGTTGGTACGTCTCATGGGGGGGCTCAAACACCTACTTTTGTAAACAATAAAACAAACTGATTTTAATACTAATGTCGATTTTTCTCTTTTTTTAAAAATAATTTTTGCCAATTTTCTTTTATCCTCCGCAACTAAAAGAGCAGTTTTATTGTTGTTTTTTTAATCACTTGTAGTATTGAAAAGTAAGAAACGAGTATGTGGCCGTCTCTATGGCGACCAGGATTGTTGGCAGTCATTGTCATTAATTACAGACAAGCAGAGGCCTGGAATTTTTCGCCTGCAGGGGCATCATCCTTTTTTAACTGAACACGATGGTTTATTCCCTCACAGCAGTTGAACTTAGTTACCCCTGCACCCCCCCCCCCCGACCCACAGAAATCCAGTCCTGCCACTTCTCCTTTTCGTCGTCTCTTATATCGCACAAACCGAGTGGAACGCCGCTGCTCCCCTCAGCTGCTGCGTGTAGAAATGCTTCGACAGGAAGTTGCGAGGAGATAAGCAGCTGATGCAGCTGCCTGCGTGCCGCGTGCGGTGCGACTTCTCAAGAATTGGCAGAATTACACTCAAAACGGGGTCATCAGAAGCTGCCTGCGGTTTTTGAGAGAAAATCTGCATGTAAACACTTTGACAGATTCGAAGAAAACGTTTGCGTCGGCAGAACGGGTAACGTTCACAAAGTCCGGCACCTGAAACAAAACAGCAGGTGTCAGGATGCAGATTGATTGGTTTTATCTGCACTGCAAATGTTCATAGAAACAAAATAATCTGAATACAGTCTTTCATATATATATATATTGAAAAGTACATGAAATAATATTAATTTTAATAACAAGAGCAAAATAACAATGACATCTGTAATAAATTGGTTACACAATGACATTTTATGTAAATACCTCTCAAGAATTACGTAAAACAAACATCAGACAATAGTTTCATTTTACTGGATGTAAAAACACTGAAGTGCTATTTGTTCAAAAGCTACAAAATACATTTTAAAAAGCAAGAAGCGTTTTATTTCCTTCAAGGAAAAAAAAAACTACTATAAAATAAGTTACAGTACAGTGAATTTGTCCAAACTGACTTTTGTTCCCGTCTTCCAGCCTTTTGTAAGCATAAACTGAAGTAACGCACACAGAGTCAGAGAGAAACACGGCTCTGGGGGGGAAAAAAAAAAAAGAAAAAAGGAAATTGTACAGTCGGGTTTTTGTCAGTGACTGGGGGTGTTTGCAAGAAAAAAAAAAAAAAAGGCACACAAAAGGCTTCTGAAAATGTGAAATATAACATTCAGGTCTTCATCATCTGCAGGTCACATGTCTGCTATCCTTAGCAGAAACAACTTTGTACTTCATGAGCTCAGGAAACAAAAAAAACAAAAAACTTGGACAAATACTTCATATTGAGTCACAAAATACAGAGGAGAGGCCTCACACATCGTCAGCTGGCAGAGAGGGGATGTTAAACCTTGGTCTGGTGAAAAAAGCCATCTTCTCTCTGCAAATGCAAACACAGGTCACTGCAAATACTTCAATAGTTTCACTTTTTAATCTGAAAAGTGTGGCATGCATTTATATTCAATCTCCCTTTATCCCAATCACCTAATTGGTACATAGTCCAGCTGTAATTTGACCTCAGGATGAATCTAGCAGCTCTCTTTCTGACCTCATAAGTTTTTAGGGGGGACATTCAATTATATATATAAAAAAAAAAATAAATAAGCACCTGCAAATTTTCCTAAAAGCATTTTATAAAAAAAATTGAAAGGAAAGTTATTAAAGTCTAGCTGGAAATCTGACTTTTTAATAAAGGTCATGAGGGAGATACAAAAGGAAGGTTTATAGAAATAAATTAAATGAAAGAAGATGCACGTCTGGTCATAAAATCTACAAAAATCTCTCCATGTACTTCTTGGCTTAGTCTAGATTAGTCAAGATTTGTCTTGTTTGGGTTGGGGGTGGACTGATTTCACCTGTATCTGCACACCTGGTTCTTCTAGGCTCTTTTAGTTCATCCTGCCAGCTTTATGTTTGAGTATCTCAGGAACTTCAAAATAGCAACCCTTCGATGAGCAGGCGGACTGATAACTGTGTGTGTATTAAATGTGCAGCACTAAGGGAGGTCTGAGTGGTTTGTTGTCTTGCACCGGCATGCCTGCAAATGGTTGTCATATTCCAGCTATTTAAAAGTGGGAGGTGGTGTGCAAACAAATCAGTGCTGCACATTATTCAAGCTGCTTTAGCAAAGGTTCCCTTTAAAGATAAAAGCATTGAAATTGTCAGTAGAGTTGTGCAATGTTTCCAACCTGAATGTTTGCACAGGAAGGGGCTCCTTCTGGTTCTGGCCTCTCATCTGCAGAACCTCCTTGGAGGCCTTCCTCAGCCTCCTCTCCGCTGCCTCCTCCTGACGCTGCTCCTGTTTGCTCTGGCCTGCCTGCGGGGCAGCAGAACAGTCAGCTGATGCTGCAGCGGGGCGAGGCCGTGTCATGTTCTCAGTGCACCTGCAGTAGGTCCAGTTTTACCTGTCTCTGGGCCTCTCTGAGCAGGCAGCGGAAGCGCTCGTCCCTCAGGGCCCAGTTGGGGAGCTCGTTGGCCTCGTTCGATTGCGGCTCCTCTAGTCGCAGCTTGAGTTCTCTCAGGGCGCTCAGCTCCTCCATCAGCTGCCTCTGACGGGTCCTGCAGGCCTGGAGGTCCAGCTCCAAGTCC